CCTGCAGAAGCGCCAATCAGCTTGTAGCTGCTCGCGCAGATCCTGGGGCCTCTGCCGAGCCTCTACAGCCCTGTAGCTCCAGCTGTCTCTCCCTCAAGGCTTGTGCAGCGCTGCAGCTGCTTCAGCTCATTCTCTTCCCCCCCCCCCGCTACCACTTCTCTAGGATGATCGCATACCACCTGCCAGGTGTCAAAGTACCACCTGTTGAAAAGCCCTGATCTAGAGTATAATGAGGGGTCTAGGTAAATGTTTAGCTCAATACTTCACCAAGAAAATAAATGAAAGCATGATGGAACTGCAGCCATCCTCCCCATAGAGTACGGGTGTCAAACTCGCTGCCTCGTGTGATGTGTCACGACGTATCGTGACTTTTTTCACATTGCTAGAGCTGGGGTGGGCGTGGCATCCACCTGTTGCAACCAGCCCATGGGCCGGCAGTTTGACATCCCTGCCATAGAGAGTACTGAATTGGCAGCATTCAAAATCACCAATTCTGTGCTATATATCTATGTTTAGGATACCAACATGGTAAGATCTTTAAATGTAACTCCAGTCACAGTCTCCCAATTGTGGTATCCACTGCTAAAAATCTCTAGGTAACTTCATTTTCTTCTGTCCGTCAATGAAGCTACCTTTCCGTAGAATTAACAGTAAAAGAGGACAATTTCCTCTTTTGCAAAATCTGAGGAAATATGTTGTAAGGGACATAGTGGGAAATAGCGAGGGAAGATAATTCCAACCATTTAAAAAGAAATCTCAGGAGGTTTCCATAAGATCTGTTTTGTAATTACCATTCAATATGCAAATTAACTATAGTGGGAAGACTGCTTTAACTGTTGCCTATATATCTCCCTACATAAAGTTTAATCTGCATCAAGGAAATTGCAACATTTAAAAGAACTATGTGAAGTCTACAAAATTATAGGAATGCTATCAAGACCCTGTGATTTTCTCCAATTAAAAGGAACATCCTTAGTCAACCCAAGATTTAGCTCTTCGGCTGACCATGAATACTCTGGGACTCTTTCGTACTCATTCCTCTTCTGCTGGCTTTTGATACTATGGTGTGTGTGTGTGTATGTGTGCGCGCGCGTGCGTGTGTGTGCGCGCGCATGCGTGCAAATAAACAATTTGGGCAGTGCGGTTAAAGTAATCATAAAAATCATAGAATATAAAGTTTGGAAGTGACCTAGGAGAGCATCTAGATCAATCGCTAGATGATTGTGTTGATTAATAATTAATCAACATTAACACCGCAGCTTCAGTTGTACAGCCACATCTTCTTTCTTTCTTGGAGCTTTAAAGCCTCTTATCAAATCTTAAGCAGAAACATATATGGCTATTTCATCTGCATCCAGTAGAATAAATAGATGACTAAACTCATTTTTCTTCTTATAAATCAAAAGGAGCAGTTAAATGGAAAATGATTTGCTCTAAAAATTGCAGCTATAGGACCCCAAGAGTCCACATCCTGACTTTCTCTTTCTTCTTCAGTGCAATCTGATTAATTTAATTTTGCAAAAAGAGAAAATGAAAAGACTTTGACTAATTCATGGCCAAAGCCTTAGAAGCTATCCTAAGACCGAGCAAGGTAGTTCCCAATATCAGCAAGAAGCAAAGCCAGAAAATAACCTATTTGTGTAGTATATGCTTTAGAAATGCATTATTTTAATGTCTTTTATCAACCATTTGTTGACATGGAACATGACTGTCATGAAAGGGTTTTGACTCAATTTATACGCGCCTTTGTGTCTTAAAGCTATAGATCAGTTTTCCAATACAGCATATAAAACTTGTGAATAGAGATTTCAGTATAAACGCACTTTAAATGCACTAGAATTCACTATTCTTTGGCAAAATACACTACTGAACAGTTTGATGAAACTTCTTTCCAAATTTAGTTCCTCTTGTAAGGTTCAAGCCCAACAATTCAAACTTAGGTAGTAATTTTATGAATGAGAAATATTTCATCTAACTATACCAGCCAGGCAACATTTTCCATTCAGTCTTCAGAATTAGGACCTGATTGCTAATTAGGTCCAATCTGCAAAACTCAGGAACAAGTTGAAGGGGTGACCTATTCATCAAAGGATATGCAAATTCATTCCAGGTGAAGCACTGCTATTGTGTCCTTTAGCTCATTTCACTAAAATGAATAGTAATTGCAGACCACTTAACCACAATTGAATTTTGACCCCCCCCAAAAAAGTTTTTCTTACAGAGTCCAGCTTCTTAAATACTTTTTAATATTTAACAGTTTTGCAATCTATCACTTCTCGCCATAAAAAGCAAGTAAGCTACAGCAACGCCATTAGATTCATTTGAAAAGCAATGAGAGCCACCAAGATCATAGCTAGTTTTCCTGTGCAGTGATTGGAGATATGAATAATAAATACTTGACCATAGAAATCTTAAGTATAGAGGAATAGAAAATATAATTGCTCCTCCAGTTCTATAGTTTGGGATGTAAAATATAAGGTACATTTCTGCTATGTAAGTGCTAAATTAGTTGCTGAAGATTTTGTGCTCTGCAATATACCTCGGTAAGAGTACCAGCCTGTTCCTTAAATAGTGCTTTATTCTAGGTCTAGGATGTAAAAAACAGTTACGTTTAACACAGCTTAGTAAGAACTGGAGCCTATAGAGCTACACTGTAGATTCAGAAGCAATAATCTAGTGTGTGAAGGAAATCTGTAAATACACTTCCCTCAAAAATCACCTAAAGCTAAATTAAGTACCCTTTTAAGAAAAATAAACAAATATAAACAAACTTAAAAGACAAACACATCACTAGCACACATATTTTCACTAAGCAGCAAGGTTGTTGGTTTTTAGCTCATTTGTATTGGTTAAATATTTTCTGATATTTTTTTTCCAGGCTTATTTATTTGCACATGTGAAAGCCATATTGCTCCAGAACATAAAAACTAAAACCAGAGTCTTTTAATTACTGAAAGCTGCAAATATTTGAAAAAGACACAACTATAGCAACTCATGTGCGCCCATTCACTTGAACTGCATCCTGTTGCCCCAAAAAGCAGCCAGTTGTTTACACGAGCAGAGATTCCTTTTCTTTCTAATGTATTTGTTTACAATCCCAGCCACACCTTCTAGATAGAAGACAGTCAGGGGAAAATGAAATTCATCCATAATAAGACAGTTGGGATAGGAACAGAGAAGAAGGAATATAGTGATTTTATGCCTTATAGAACTCTACCAAGTAAATATTTCAGAGGGTAACACTGGGGGAATAAATGTTCCGGCTCAGGAAATTTATTCCTTTGGTCTTGGTTAAAAACAACTTGGCCAAAAGCAACAAAGAGGGGTTTTTCCCCCCTCTGTTTCTTCTTTCATGTGCTTTTTTTTTCCTCTCTGTCAAGTGAAGGATGAGGGGTATCCCCTCTCCCCACCAAGTTTGTAAATTCCTTTTCATCTTCTGTAAAAAATAAAATAAAATAAAAACCCAGAAAACTGGAGAAGCGTTCCTAAACTTTAGATTCTTTCTTTCTTTCTTTTTTCTTGGAGGAAACAATGGGCTTTTTGGGAGAGCGAAAAAGAAAAAGAAAAAGAAAAGCCAATGGAAGATAGTCATCTTGGCAGTCTATCTCCCTCCTGCCCCTCCCCCAACCGAAGCTAAGGGGATGAAAATATTGTAAACCCAGAGTCAGATTTGCGCTACCCACGTCTGTATTGTCAAACCACGCCGTTCCCTGAAGCGTTAGCACCAGGTTTCCCTCGAGGGACGGGTGTGAGTCTCCACCCGCACTCCCGCGGAAGGCCCTGTGAACGGAGTTGCCATCCCTGCATCCGATTCCCCCAGATCTCCAGCCGGTCTTGTTATCTGCGCGATCTCCCACCCACCCACCCGCCCGCCTCCCCTTCCTCCACAGATCTCCCCTCCTCCCGGAACAGCCCTCTCTTCTGTCGGAAGGACGCCGAGACAGCTGCTTGGGTAGCGGGCTGAGCGAAGACAATAAAAGAGAGCGTCAGCCCCGCGCAAAAGAAACTGGCACTTTGCTTCTTCTCCGGCATAACCTTCTCTTGACGTTCCGGCTGTAGAGAGGAACGCTCTCTGGCTTTTGATCCTCCCTCCCCCCCCCCAGGATGTGATTTGTGCCCACTGACAGGTAATCTTCACCTGCGGGCCCCGCCGACAGTGGGAGAGCGGGAGAGGCAGATCAAGCCTCGGCTGCCGCTGGCCTGGTGCCTCTTAGACTCGGGTCATTGAAAGAAAGAAAGAAAAAGGAAAAAAAAGAAAGAAAAGCCCGGAGTCCGGGTTTAGGGGGGGGGGAGGGACGGAGAGCAGGGGCCATGTGGCAGATCCGAGTGGGTTTGCATCCCAGCACGCTCCGCCTTTCCCCGCGGGCTCCCTTTCTTGCGTGTCCCCGGCGCGGGGCTTCCCTGATCCCGCTCCGTGCCTGGGGGTGGGGTTTGGCCCCGGTCCTCCGAGAGCCCCTGCCATTACGAGGCAAAGTTTCCGAGTTCCGCCTCGCCAGGACGAGACCGCGGAGGGGCTCCGGGGCGGTGCGCCGAGTCCTCCCTCCCTCCCCCCCCTCGAAGCCACTCCGCGCGATCCTTCGGCCGCTCTCGGCGCCCCCTTTGCTGTCACCATCCCTCCCCCCTCCCGGCACTACCGGGCCCCCACTTTTCTAAGCCACGCTAAGCCATCGGCAGTTTATTGGGGGGGGGGGGGNGAGAGAGAGAGAGAGAGAGAGAGAGAGAGAGAGAGAGAGAGAGAGAGAGAAACGAGGGCATAGCGAAAGAAAAGAAAGGAGGTGAGCGGATCCTCCCCCACCGTGTACCCGGCTACCTATTGTCTTTGCCTTAAAGACCCCGATTCCTACTCCAATGTTTCCCCCGGAGCAGCCTCCCCCCGCCGGGACTAAAATGCCTCTTTGCAAGGTTTCCCCCATGCCTCTCCTCCCCACCGCCACCCCCCATTTCCGAGGCGTGCGAAGCCGGGGCGGAGATTTTTCCCCCACCCTTTTCTCGGCTCTTACCTGTTCTGGCCGCTGCCAGGCAAACCCAAACGCCCACCATGACATCCATCGGGGCTGATCACGCTGTCTGCTCCGTGGAGACCCCGCACGGCAAAGCCTGGCTCCAGTTCGCTTTCGAGCATCAGAGCCTTCAAACTTGAAGCGCTTGTTTGGCCGCTGCTCAGAGCGGCGGCGGCAGCGGCGGCGGCAGCAGCAGAGCGAGAGAGCGAGAGAGAGAGAGAGACAGCAGCGCAAGCACTAGCAGCGGTCAGATCTGCTGCCCTGGAAGAGCCCACGTGCTTTCCGTGGGGATGATGCCCGGCTCAGACGGCCCTTTCCCGTGGGGCTCCGCAGCTCACGCCCAGTTTGATGTGCAAGCTTTGTTCGGCTTGGTCGCGTCGACGCCCCTGCCGCCTTCAGTTGCCTCGGCTTGCCGGGGAGGAGAGGCGGGCCCGCGAGCTCGCCGCTTGGGTGCTGGATCCCCCTCTCGGATCTTAATGGATCGGTCTTAAACCACCCCCGCCCCCCGCCCCAAAGAGGGAGGTAAAAGCATCTCGGAAAGAACTGAGCAAGTGAACGGGGAAGGAGGCTGCTATCCAGGCATCTGACCAACTTGTCGCTGCCTCCTGTTTGGGGGATAAGGAGGCAGAGATAAGGGGGTGGGGAAGAGAGCGGAGCGCTAAGACGCCTTTTTTTTTTCCTCGGGCCACGGTGCCCACCCTGCTCTGGGGGTACTTCTACACCCTGGGAAGGAGATTCAGGAGCAGGAGAGAGAGAGAGAGAGAGAGAGAGAGAGAGAGAGAGAGAGAGAGAGACGCCTGTAATTCACTTGGTTCTCCCTACCACGTAAGGTTCTTCAGTGCCTGCCTTGCTGCTTCGTTCCCACTGCTGCTTTAAAGTCATGGGGCTCTCACACACACACACACCCCAGCATGAAGGGGAACTGCTTCAGCCTGCCAGTTCCCTCCCAAATAGCAAGCTAGAGCTGCCCTGGGATAACTCTTTCCCTTGGCCCCACCCAAGAATGATTCCCACATGCTGAAATGCTGTGATTCCCAAGAGAACGGGATCCCTGCCACTCTGAAAATCGGCTGGGCCCGAAATTCCTAAGGGCAGGCTTAGCCCACCTGCAAGAGAGCTGGCATCCTTCTTGCAACATGTCTGAACTCTTGATCTTAGCCCCAAACCCGAGAAACCCAGCATAGGACTCTCCAGAACACTAGGTTAATTCGGGACACGCTGGCTGTGTCTCGCAAACACAATCACACTTTTTTTTTTTATGATTCATAGTAGGTCAAGAAGATGTGATAGTGAATAAGAAGGATAATGTGTCAGATTAGTAATTAGCTAGGATGTGAGGATCTTCCTGAAGACCGAGGCTTGCATGGTATTAACAGCAGTTGATTCATCACAAGGACTGTTTAGGGATAAAGGCGGTCAGGTTTTTCCTAGTTTTCAAATTCTTAAGAAGTTTGGGATTTAAAAATAAAGTGGCTTATATTCAAATTGTGCACCACAGTTTTACTTTCAGTAATTGGCTTGGCAACCCCAACTAAAACTGACACATCCATCCAATGCAAGAAGAGAAATAATTGAAATAAGTTATATATGTATAAAAGAGACAACTATATCAAGGACCATGAAAACCCAAGATGCAAGTAGGGCATAACAAAAGTTAATGAATTTATTAGAATCATTGTCCGTGACTCTGGCAAAATTTTTAGAAACCAGAAGGTGAAACTGTGCTGGCTAAAATGTGTTAAACATTTTCTGAAGGTTTCCCAGCTAATGCTCTTAGTACCAATGCATCTCTGATTTTAGAGGAATTAGTTATCTTTTTAAGGCTGGATTTTATTCTAAGAATTTTGATGCAGCCATTCAACAACAACAATGCTTCCAGGAGGTTTTTAATTTTTAATGTTTTAAATTATTAGTTTAGTGATTAAAACAGCAGAGGAAAAATTCAGAAGAGATTACAAAACAGAAAAGAAAGGGGGGAAAGCCAGTTGAAATAGGCCTCCAGTTAGTGAAAATATATCAGAAACGACCTGCTAAGCTCATCTTCCTGCAGAGAATACAGGTGTTAAAAGAGCACAGAGCCTTGCCAGTCAAGAAGACAGGGGACCTCAAGAGAGAGGATGCATTGCAAAGTCAAGGCAAATCCATTTGCATTTGGTCTACCCCAGGGGTCTTCAAACTTGGCCCTTTTATGACTTGTGGACTTCAGCTCCCAGAATTCCTCAGCCAGGCATGCTGACTGAGGAATTCTGGGAGTTGAAGTCCACAAGTCATAAAAGGGCCAAGTTTGAAGACCCCTGGTCTATCCAATCTGAAAGCAGACTTTTGGTAAGATCAGCTTTCAGAGGAAGATCTCAACCAAGGAACCATTTTTAAGCTCCTTGAGCGCCTCATTTACCAGAATTTCAGACTCTCCTAATTCCTATCTCTGCTTAGAATTGCCTTATCAAATGCCCTGGTGTTGAAAGTTGCATCCGTTTGAATGTCTCATGAATGTCTATTCCAAAAAGATGACAACTTTCTTCTTGAATAACGTCGGCAACTGTCAAATGTTTTCTAATTTGCATTTTACCAGGACTAATTGGCAGCAGCCCCATGTGATTGTCTCTAAAATTTATCTGTGGTAGATCCAGAGACATCATGCTAAGATAAATGTGTAAAAAGAAACTCCAAAAGAATTTGTAGCATAGGAAGATGCCATTTATTTCTGCCACATAATATAACCACTGAATTGGAAGTTACTCTCCAGCATCAGAGCCTTTTTAAAGTTATCCAAAATGGAATCTGGGATCTTTTTCCTGTAAAATATGAGTTCAAACATTGAGCTACAGAAAGTCTGTCAGATGTGGACTGCAGAAATCTAGAGACCCACTACATGGCATGAAAGACATAAAGAAAAGTCTTATTTTGCTGCCACCTAGTAGTCATCTGGCTTTTTTTAAGTACAAAGGTACTAAGCTACAATCTTCCCCTGCTCAATATCAGATCAGGCCATTGAACTGTATCTCAGTTAGCGCTAGCCAAGGACCATGGAACCTTTTAAATTTAAGATGTGTGTACTACCAATGAGTTATAGCCTTTCACTTAAATAAGGTAAAATACATTTTTATTTCTTTTCTTTAATTAAATGGATTTCTAAATCACCCGATAAGCAGACCTCTCTAGGCAGCCAAAATGTTTAATCAAATATAATATAGCTTGTATATAAAAATTAATCTGATTGTGCTGATATTAGTGACAAGCCCACTACTCAGTATTGGAATATTGGACTAGATTCAAATCCTCATTATACAGCAGAATTATGCAGCATTCTGACTCAGAGCTGAGTGGGGAGAGATGCTATAGAATGCACCGGGCCCTTACATAGTATAGAGTCCATGTTAAGAGACCGTTCGCAGTTGCGTGATGAAAAAGTAATTTTGCAACCCAGTCCTCATATTTATGACCTTTGCAGGTCTGTAAAGCAAAAGAAAGCTGATGTATATCATTAAGCCCAATTGTAGTTTCATGTAGCAATCACTTCGCTTAATGGTAGAGTTGTGTCTAGGGAGATTCTCCGTTGTGGGAAGTCACCACCACCCCCCAGAGAAGGAAATATTAAAAGGGCAGAAAGATATATTTCCTCAAAGGATCTTAAAGAGGCAGAAAAGCATGCCCAGTTTTTTTAATAGCCCCAAGTCTCCCTCCCCCAAGCAGAAACCAGCTCTGTAGAAATGTAGATGTAAATAATCCAGGAAGATTGGAGGCCCCCAGCTAGAAGCTTAGGAAGACAAAGACACCTAAAATCTGCATACCCCACCCAAACTCTTAAGTCAGGACATAATAGGATTAACCTACAGAATACCAGAAAGTCACACTCAGACTCAGGTCAAAGTTCATGCCACAGGAACAACTCCAAACAAAAGGCTCCAGAGGGTATAAAAACCCACTCCCTACATGTGCTCATTCTTCTTTTCTTCCAGAGCCATCTTTCTATCTGGCTCTCCTCTTCAATAAACTGCAACCTTCTTTCTAAAGCAGTTGCCATGTTGTTTATTCCCAGCTTGGACTGAATCATGATGAAGACTTTTCCTTCAACACAGTCATCCAGGTCATGGTTCTCCCAAAGGTGCTTTTTTCTAGAGGTAATTGGAATTTCTTTGTTTTTCCTTGAAGATGTTTCATTTCTCATCCAAGAAGCTTCTTCAGTTCTAGAAGAAGCTTCTTGGATGAGTAGTGAAACGTCTTCAAGGAAAAAACAAACAAAGCCCAGTTGCCTCTAGAAAAAAGCACTTTTGGGATAATGGTAGAGTTGATAGTCCCAATGGCTATCTGTATTTGTTGGCAATATATTAAAGGAGCGGCATCTTTTCTTGGTATTATGGCTTTCTTCACACAATTGCTGTGTGGTCTCAGGAAAAGATGGCTAACTCTATCCCTCATAGGAAAAAGCCAAATAGGTTGTCTTAAGATGTTTGTAGGCAAAAGAAGGTTTTAGCATGTTGCAGATTGCAATTGTGATATGCCCATGATGTATATCAGGCCTGCTAAGATAAAAAAGAAAAACTCCAAAGCTAGCTGTTGCTAAGATAAGGAGTATTTGAAAGAATCATATGTACTGTATGTTACTTTTCTTTCCTTTTCTTTTTTGGCTTGGGTAACATTTTTATCTTCTCGGTTGTCACTAGTCATTATAGTGTAGGTCACCTTCATGCTGCCTGTGAATCCCTCTCAGTTGTTGTTCCTGGCAAAAAATAATCTTATATATTTCAGACAGATATTCTCATCTGTGACTCATCAATCTGTTATTTGTCTTCTTTATGATTGTACGTGATTCACATGAGGGGGGGGGAAAGTGGGTCCATTAAAGCAAGTGTTGGGTAATTTAGCAAGTTTAACCCTTGCTGAATGCATTGCAGAAAGAACAGGAGATAACAATTGTGTATTGCTTTATTCTTACACTGAAAAATAAAATAAAATCGATATATTTCATTAAGGTATTTATTAGCTACCTGGGATCAGATTAAGCGTCATAATCCTTGTTTGTTAAACTGGGAAAAATTGGATACTATACTATATAGTAGTTTTCAAATATGGAAATTCTTTGGAATTAACACCACCAGCATTGCTAGCGAGATTTCACTAT